ACCATCATACAGACTAGTCCTCCTTTCATGTACTTTCTTTTTGTATCTTGAGTTTCCAAAACAAAGGACCAACCTGACATGAAATAGCATCAGAAACTACTGATGTAGCCTAGAATCTATTTGTGACACAGTTTCTGCTAAGTCACTAAGAAGTAACAAGACTCTTCTTAAAATGCAAACTTTGCAACCTTTTGCTTTTCATTTAACCCACTGGCAATTAAATAATTTTTCCTGCAGGAAGACATAGTCACAAATGGGTATCGATTATGTTGACTTTCTTCACAAAGACCCACAAGATTTACTTTGTTTTATGAAATCTGGAGCATGCCACTTAACAGACAGCTGCCCAAAACAGAATCCCAGACACACACACTCCAACCTCACTCATGTCCTGCTCCCTTTCTCATAACTAATCAGTAAAGGAAAGTAAGAGTGTCAGTCTCAAACCTCTTTAATGTGATTGCTAAATTAACAGATACACCAGTCAAAGTTTTTGTTCCTACTATCAAGTTCCCAATGTTTTGTTTGCCTTAGGTCTTGCTGACCTTGGCACAAAATAGGAATTATATTTGCAGCTGGATGACTAGTTCTCAGACAGTTTAACCTATATTACTAACATGCACCAATAGGTTCTTTATACATATCTGTCTTTTTTGTTTACCATAACACTTTACCGACACTGGAAAGACAGATCTCAGTCTTTCTCCAGACACTGATGTCCTCTGAAAGGATGCAATAAGCATTCTGTTTTCACAGCACAAACTTAAAACCTAAACATCCTTTTCAAAAGCTTTTGGGAAGCTTTGTAACAATGTTTGAGTCCTTGCTCCCATCCATCTTACTTCAATTACCAAGAAAAACTGCATAGAGAAATAACCAACAGAACATTCACCCTTCACTTTTCAACCCTGTTCACTGCTTCCTCGCTTAACTGTGGTCATCAATCATTCCTAATATAGCGCTCTTGTTTTCAGGTTGCCCCACCTGTTGGTAAAGGTGCTCTGACTGCACTCTGTCAAGTGGATCCTCTCGCCAGCAGTCCTCAATCCACAAAGAGGATCCCCTGGTCATATGTGATACTTTACAGATCTAGTAAGAGCCTTTCTGAGATAAATCCCACGCTGTAGTACAGGACCAACCTTCCACAGGCATGACCACACAGAAAATTGCATTTTTAGGCTTTTCTTCCAAACACCTTCATAAGACGGGCTGCTTTGTTCATAAACTACAGAAGTATCACCATTTTGGATTACTCAGAGAAGATGACTGATTTTATACACAGCTGGTGATGACATCATATTATTAACAGGCTGCAAGAACCACGGTCACTGAACAGAAAGAAGCTTCGTTTTCATGCAAATATCCCCAGGAAGCTGCATAAAGCAAAGAAACAGCACATCACATTTTCTTCTGCATCACTTGCAAAGAGGTCTCTACAGGGAATGCTTGCAACCAGGGAGAAGACTGGAGACTTCCTCTGTTGCTTCCAGGAGTCTAGATCATAAACTGTCCTCCCTGCTTAAAAAAAAAAAAAAAAAAAAAAAAAAATTTCTTGTTTGATCAAGCAGTGAAGTTCCCTGCTACCATTTCTAATAAGTTTTCCACATTCAGGAAGAAAAAAATGTAAACATCCCAAATATATAGCACTTTCTGGAGAACAACAATCGGGCACTTCACTCCCAGGAGTACTCCCTAAGAGTAGTTTTTCTCTTCTCTGAGTTTGGGTGGGATTGGGATTTGACATCTACAAATGGCAATACAACAGGCATTCAATGGAATGTTTTCCTAAACCCACCATATGTGGGACACTCTCCCCTTTCTGTCCACATGAATATAGCACCAGAGGAGATAGCCCCTGGTATTAAGAAAAGAAGACATTCCAGTCCTTGACTCACCATAGCAGGTGCTACACAACCACTTCAAGACAGTAATGCCTATCTCACTGAACAACTATGTCAAACAGGTTCAAACACTGGAATCAGCAAATGCTTAAACACCGACCTCTCAGACACTGCTCATTATGCATGCTCAGTAATAATGATAGTACTTTGAAGAAGGCAAATATTACTCAGAAGGACCATACACAATCATAGCTGTAACTCCGAGGTGCAATTTTTGCTGTAGGCCAAGGAAAATTTAGTAGGAAAGATGTAGCAGACACAACACTGGCCTTTTCTTCCATGCAAGGATGTACAATGCCAAAGGCCTCCAGCTTCATTGATCACAAGCTCAACTCAATACAGCTAGGAGACTAGTGATTTGGCTCTTAAGTACTTTGTCTCTCAAGAACACACAGTCTCTTCATGACCACATGCCTCTCCAGTCTATCAGTTTAACTATTAGGCCTCTTCTGAAACTTAAAAGCAAAATAAAACCCCTTGGGTTTGCTTAGCCAAGGAGAAACTGAAAAGAAGCTTACAAGGGTTATGAGTTCACCTCTTCAGCTCTCCAAGCTGGTAGCTCACAAGACACAAGTTTTTAGGATTAACTCCCAAAAGATCTCTAGTATCCTTCTTCATCCATTCCAGGAACACAATCTTGTATGTGAAGAATACAGAGAAGAGACCAGTCCAAAACAGAACAGCTTCTCGAGTCAGCCTGTGGCGGATCTGGGGTCTCTCAAGACTCAACTCACTCAACAGACCACACTGCTTTCCGTAGTGCACACAAGTATCACAGTCCTGTTGTTCAAGGAACAAGTATTTCAGGCTGAAAAAACTGTTCACGAAAGTAAACATGATAAGGAAGCATGCAATACTCTGAGTAATCACCAGATGTCACCACATCTCAAGAGATTCAGAGGGAAACTCTTAGCAGGCTAAGTGACTGAACTAGAAGAGGTTTCTATAATACATTCACAGCTTCAGGTCCAAAGACCAGAAAAGCAACTCAGTGACCAAGACAATTTCCCATGAAACCACTTAACGTATGTGTGTTTAGGAGTTGAAGGACCTGGATGGGCCATCTAAGGCAGTGCCTTCCAACCTTTCTCTCTCAGCCACATGGCTGCTGCTATCTCTTCTTTCTCACTTCCTACCTCAAGCTCTGTCTCCTTGCTCCTCAACCACCCACACATGAACACTGCCTCTGGAAGCGATCACCAGTCCTGCTTCCCAGGACTTACACAGCTCTTACACAACCCAGGTTTGCTCACCACAGTTCGAGGCTGGGTGGAACTGAAACTCTTCGTCATCACGCTCTTATACATACACAACCACCTCGATGCCAGATGTTAATGCATCTTCTAAATTTGGCCTCTCAGATGAAAACTTCCTTATTTCTTTTGTGGGTTTGGGTTCCAGCATTTACATCCACAGCTGCCGCTAGCAAGATCCTGGTTCTGCCTTTTGTACAAGGCAGGACTGAGGCAAACAGTGTTCTGCCCACAGGTGATGAATGACCCAAGCCTGCTGCTGACATGAATGCTGCACCAGCATCAGCAATCTTACACCCCATTCTAAAATGACAGTGAAAGTGTCAGGAATAAATACAGATTTCTACATCAGCCTCTATTAAGTTCAAGGAGAAAAAAAAAATATACATATAAGTAATACACACACACTCTTTCCTTGGTCAAGAGGGACAGCAGTACTAGCCCCAAAAATATTCATGTTTGCTTTTCTCCTACTTAGTGGCCTCCTCATCTTTCTGTCCCTTCTGCTAGAAATAGCAGTCAGTGCTGTGCACATCTAGATCCCTATCCAGCAGCACCCAATAAAATGGCAATTATTTGACCTGATGGGATATCACAGTGTCCACAAGCTCTACAGGGTTCCCATGAAGTAGATACACACACAAAAAAGTAGAGTTCCTATGAAAAAAGTGATGTTATGTTACCTTTAGTGATACTTGCAGAGCAAAGTGGCTGCCACATCTTCCCAGCAGCCATGCATGAATCAGTGACACTCAGACCAGTAGTGTCTAAACCCTCAGCTGTACAAGATCACATAATTTCTTCCAGTAGCAGGGAGGGCTAAACATCCCAGCTTCTTCCTCTCCATCATAGCAGGCCCACAAAGCATAAGCAAGTGCTGCAGCCAATGTATGCATGCATAGCAGGCCCTGAATTTAAAAAACAAAACAAAACAAAACACTGCCTCGCTGAGTGTCCACTACATAGCACATTCACACAAGTTTGCTGACCCACACTGTTCCAGGGAGGGGAGCCCAGGAGCAGGCTGCTTTTACCAAATCAATTCGTGCAGGCTGCTCCAGACATCTTCCTTCTTCTGGGATTCTCAGATACTAAGGACGCTACATATTCTCCAGAAAAAGAGGTAGCTAGAAGCCAGGCCACAAAACATACAAACAGTTTTTGGTAAACTGTAGGCTTGACAACTCTGATCTTAAATGTTCACTTCCCTTTGAACAAAATAGGAAGAACAAAGAACGGGTGCAGAGGAAGAAACAGAAACAAAGGATAAAAGACACAGTGGGAATTTAAGAAGTCCACTGATATAAAGGGATGTTGTCAACACAGGGATTAAGGATTCATGCAAGCCTCTGTCCACACACCCCTCACCCCAAAAAACAAGAACAAAATCTGTTCTAGGTTGGAAACCCCCACAAGATATCTTGATTTCAAGCAACTGAATCAATATGCAGGTAGCTATGACTCCAAGAGAGTAACATACACATGTTTTTAAGAGCCTAGAGCAAAACTGGAGATGGCCGTCCATTATATATTACAACGTAATATAGCACCTCTCATCATCCAGTGATACAGGGCAAGCTGGCGTGCTTGGAGCTGTACTGTCTCCACAGTAGATGGTTCTACTGCAGGGTAAATTATTAGCACATCTCTAAACCAGCTCACCCACCATTTAGAAGGCTGGGAATAATTACAAAAGAACAAAAGAAAGTAAGGTTTAAAACAAGAGGGGTAGTGAAAAATATGGACAGAAACTCCAGTAGGAACCTCAGGATACACAAAGCACACACTCTATTAGATGCAAAACCAAAACCCTAACCTTTAAAACTGAGGAAGAACAATCACTTACCTTTCAAAAGGGGCTGGAAAGTTGGAATTTCTTGCAGTTTTATGACGTCTGGATCATTGCTGACGTTCCGGGAGGACTGCGTTCCTGGGGCTACCACCACAATGTCGTCCATTTTTGCTCGTTGCTTGGCTGGCGATGGAGATGCTGGAAGGATACGGGAGGGAAGGGGAACGACCAAGTTAGTAAGTAGATTCCATCAGAATTCAACCCTAAGTGAATGTTGCTATGTTTAACGTAGTACAGGTCTATTTTCCATAGCATAAAAACATCACCGAGACCATCACCGCAAGCACCCTTCTCACCCTCTCTCCGGAATGCATTTACGTTCATCAGAAGTTCTTCAAAACCGGGTAACAGCTGATTTTGAAACACCCGCACCACTGGCACCCTCCCGGTTGCTCTCCCCCGAGCCCCGCACCCTGCTCCCCCGCCAGCGGCAGGCGGGCCCTGCCCCGGCCTCTGGGCTGCTCCCCCCGCCCCGGCTCTGCCTCCCCTCGCCGCCCGCCCCAGAGGAAGGGCCGGGCCCGGCACAGAAAAAGCCGTCCCCTCCTTTCTCCCCGGCAGACGCCTCGGCTTTCGCCGCCACCGCCGCGCCCGGCCCCGGCAGCCACGGCCGCGCCGCCCCAGAGGGACGGGGAGCCCAGCGCCCGCCCCCCCGGCCGCCCCGGGACGCGGCGGGCACCGACCTGAGGCGCTGGGCTCGCCCGGGCGGCTCTCGGCCTCCGCGCTCTGCTCCGCTCCCATGGCGGCGACGCCGCCACCGGCCGCCGCCAGCGCCAGCGCCGCCGCCTCCTCCTCCTCCTCCTCCTTTTTCTTCTCCTCCTCCTCCTCCTCCTTCCTCTTCCTCCCCGCCTCCTGCAGCGCGGGAGGCAGCGCCGCTACCGCGGCCGCCACCGGCGCCCGCCGACGGGGCTTCCGGCTGCGCCCGGGTGGCGGGCAGGCCCCGCCCGGCGCGGCGGGCAGGCGGGGCCGCGGTGAGAGGCGGAGGCCGCAGCGGCCGGGCGGCGGAGCGGAGCGGAGCGGGATGGCGGCTGCGAGGGCGGAGGCCTCTCCACTCCGTGCCCGGCCTGCAGGCGCCTGGGCCCGCGGGGGCCCGGCCCTCGCCCCGGCCCTCCTGCAAACAGCCCCGCCGGAGCGGAGAGAAAGCAACACAGCGCTAATCTGTCATTTGGATTACAGATACTCATTTTTCTGTCCTGAGGCAAACCTGCTAAACCCCAGAGTGCGGGGGCTGCGTCCCCAGGCTGCCCGGTAAAGCCGCCCTCGGCAGGGCCGCGCTGTTCCCCCGTGGCCTGGCTAGTGGGCTCCCAGACATCGGTGTCCCTCGCCCCCCGAAAGCTGCAGCCCCTTGTCGTTGGCAGGCCACCGAGCACAGCCACACGTGGGAAACGGCCGCCACCGGCTGCCTTTACCCGGGCCAAAAGTTGACAGGCGGCTCAGGTTAAGCAAAAAAAAAAATCCAAGTGAAAAGGAGAAGGAAACATACTTGGAGCTTTCAGACTTAATATTTTCACATTTGACAGTCAAATCAGCCAAGAATCCACACTGTTCTCGATGATGGATGAATTGTCAATAAATACAGAACAGTGCTGTGCATGCTAGCTTCTGAACAAACCTGTTCTCCACTCACGCACGATGCCCAGCGTCATCGAAAGCCCTGCACTGAACTCGGCATCGTCTCTCTTGGCTGCCTTTCATAAGTGCCACCAAGATTCAATTGAACACAAAAAATCATGCTCCTATCTCGTGGGAACTGCACCTCACAACCATTACTGACATCAAGGCTAGGGGAAAACAATCCCAACCCAACACCACCTTTTGCTAGCGGTAGGCTGTACTAGGTGCTTTTTGTAACCTAATAATAATAGAGCTTTCAACTACCTGAACAACTGCTTGGTTCCTGACAAAATAGCAAGTAAATAGTATGAAAGTGATGTCATTATTTTGTGGAAGAACAAACTATTGGCACAATTTGGTTTACCAACTTGAGTTCCTAATCTGCAATATGCACACATGTGATTAAAGTCACACCCGTGAGTAGTCTCAGTAGTTTTTAAGGAAGGACTGGAAGTGTTTAAAGACAGGTGTATGATGTCTGTAGGACTACAGCCTAACCAGTGCTTGACATAATGTCATGTGTCATTATCCATCTGTGTCAGACAAATTGTAAAATTAGCTGCATTGGATCAGCACATTTAACTTCAATTCATGTCCTTTCCACTTCTGTGTAATGGGCTTCTCCCTCCTCTCTGAAGTGTTTTCACTTATTATTGTGAAAGTGTGAATCTGCAGTATATCACTACCCTGGAAGAGTTTCAATTTACCTATCAATCAGACATATGTGTCTACCACATGGAATTTTACCGTTGAAAACATTCTTAAAATAGAGGCATATTTTAATGTGTTAGTTGTGTAAGTAAATTCTTTATTTTGCCTCTAATGTGTATATAACACCAGTCCTCTGTAGTGTCCTGCAGCTGGTATCTAAATTAACATACTGGAAACAGTGTACAATGGTATGTATCTACATTAGAATATATAAATCTGATGTTTGTATTACCATGACCCAAGCAATTTAAGGGCCCTGGCAAATATTTTATATAGTTTCTTATCAGGTTTGCTTTTCCTTTATGACTTACTCTGTACATTCAATGCTTGACAGAGGTGGATTATTTGAAACTATCTGAACGGTACATTAAATATGTAGCTGCAGGTTCCTCAGAAAGGCCTGGCTAGGGCTGAAGGCAGAAGCTGTGCGCAGGGGTAACACAGCCAGGAACAGCCCTGACCCACCCGTCCCTGCATCGTGACACATTGGTGTGTGCTCCCGGTTAGATGGGCACAACCTCCTTGGCCTTGTTGCTGCCCACGACCATTACAAAATGCAACTGCCACACTCTCAGGCTCTCTGAGACTGGCTTGCAATTACTCCTTTAGGAGTGAGGACGTTAACTACACATACAGTGTATTTTGAGTGTGAATACCCACAGACATATACATGTATATATTTGAAGTTCCTCTCACCTGTGCCCAGGTGTTTCACGCTGCAGGGCACCAGCTCCCAAGCTGAGAGGTGCTCTACAGAGGTAGGAAAACACCCTCAGCGACTCAGCACTGTGGCACAGGGCTGAGGGGGCCCAGCCGCCCGCCCCTCTCAGCCTCCCTTCCCTCCCGCCCCAGCGGGGAGGGGAGCTCAGCAGCCGCTGGCCAAGGCTGGCTCTCTCCCAGCCAGCAAAAGAGGTTCCTGCATGGCTTTTGCTGCACCTTGGCTTCCCTGCACCTCATCAGCCTGCCTGTTGCATCTGCTCTCCCCAGGGAGGTTGAGTGCCTGCCCTTCAAAGAAGAGGTAGGAAGGGGGGAAAGAAGCCGTGGTGGCTGGACTGGGGCCATCGTGTCATCCCTCAGTATCTCTTCTGCCCTGCTCATATCACACTGTCATATCAGCCCTTCTCAGATCCCCATCATCATCTAAGTCTGTCTCTGCGCAGGTCTCCACGTTCACTATCATCCCAGAACCCCGACACCCCCAACCCTATCCCAGTAGTCCCAGTGAAGAACCATTTTCTCCACCCTCCAGTTACGACGACTCTAGACAGATGTTCAGCGTTTTGGGTTTGGTTTTTTTTTTTTTTTTTGAGCTTCTTTCAGCTCAGCTTCTCCCACTACCACTATGTAAGCAAAGGCAGGTGGCAGCCAGGACTCTGACTAACACATAGCACAGGTAATATTTGTGCTTGCCTTTAGTATTCATTCCCATAGTGTGTATCATTGTGTGATATGGTTAATAGGTGACACCTTAAATGTTCACATTCTCTTACAGCTTTTTCTTTTAACACTGAAAATAATGTTACCTGTTTACTAAAAGAATAAAACTTGGCTAGAAATAAACATTTTCTTAAACAAGTGCAGCTGAAAATTTCAGAAAAAAAAAAAAAAAGCACCGAGTGTGCAAGAATCTCAATGAAATGTTGGGAATTGCCCCAAATCAGCCATTTGATATGAAACGAGGTGATGGACTCAGTCTCTCACAGCACGTACATAAGTCCAAATAAAAGCCAACACCCAGCTGTTTTAACAAAGGAGACGGGGACTGACTGGGCGTGAAGAGCAAGTGAGCGGCCCATCCCTTGGCGCGGGTCGGTGGTGTTGGGCACAGCGCAGGGCAGCGTGAGGCAGGATGTGCCCCTGCTGCTGCCGGCACCTTCCCTTCCAGAGAAGCAAGAAATCTCACCTCAGCTTAAGTTTCTTTCTTTAAAGAAGACAGCAGATGTCTGCCAGAGATACGACCAGCCTCCCTATTTTCATTATTCTCCCCTAACCATTACAATGTGTAAAATAACCTGCCCTTCGGTATCTCTTCAGGTAATGGACCATCTGTAAAAAGTAAATGTATTTTATTTACAGACAACTGTATTATTCTTAGTAGTCATAGTATTCTCATCATTGTCTCTAAGGATGAGAGACCTGAAAAGAAAGACTAAATCCTACAACCCCTTTATTCTTTGCACTTCTTACCCTCTGGGCCACTTTTACTCCTAAACACTGCCCCAAAAATAAGAAGGTGGGGGGCGGGGGGGGGGGGGGGGGGGAGGGGAGAGGAAATTAAAACTTTCCAAGGAAAAACATTACTTAAAGCAATTGCGGTAAGGCTTTTGAGGGAAGAATGGCATAGCCGCCAGCCTGTGCTCCCAGTAGAGACTTGTCCATACAACTCCCGTTCAGCAAAGCCCCTGTGCTTGGCTGTGATTTGAACCGGATTACCCAGGTAGCAGAGATGCTTACCCAGACACCGAAATAGGCACATGTCCATTCAGACCGGAATACTCGTATTAATGGCCTCCAATTATTACAGCCCCCAAAAGCAGATCTCGGTCGCAGAAGAGGTGTATCAGGCTGCGAGGAAAACCGCGTCAGCCTCGCCGTCACCCCGCGCCGGGCCCGGAGGAGGAGGAGGAGGAGGAGGAGGAGACGGGGGGAGGGAGAGGAAGGCAGGGCAGGCGGGCGGGCGGCCCAGTCCCGCCTCCCGCCCCGGCCGCGGCGCGGAGCGTCTCCGGGTGCCGCCGCTGCCTTCCCGCCTGCCGCGGCGGGGCGGGCGCGGCCCGAGGGTGCCCTCAGAACCGCGTCCCCGCCCCCTGGAGCCGCGGAGGCCGCTCGGCGGCGGCTCTCGCGGCTGCCGGCGCCTCGGGAGGCTCGGCGCCAAGGCCGGCGTCGGCGGAGGGGGGGTCCCTCCCGGCCCGTGGTGAGGGGCGCCTCAAGGCCGGCGTCGTCCCCGCCCTCCGAGGACCCCCCGCCACGAGTGACCATGTCTCCCGGGAGCAGCCGGTGGCCGGTTTGGTTGCTGGTGGTCACCTGCGTGACGGCCGGGCCGCTCCCGAGTCAAGAGTGCTCGGCGGAGAAAATGGAAAATACCATCGTCGATATAAACTTATCTCTGTCCAGAGGCATCAAGGGCGCGGAGCCGCTGTACGCCCCAAACCCAGAGGCTTGCGGTCGCGCTTGCTGCTCGGGGGAAAAGCTCTCAGGTAACCGGCTCCTCTTTGGCCTTTTCTGGGAAATTACTTCCAAACTTTGGGCTCGCGTGGTATTCAGCGTGCTGTTCTCCTCGTTCCTCATAGAAACGTGAATTTATCCTTTCATTTACTCAGCGACCAGTAACAGCTTGCGGCTGCTAGCCTGTTTTGGTAAGCGTGGTGCTAGATCTTAATGCAAGCCCCCGTAGTATTCAGGAAAATAGTTGCAGCAAAGAAACAAGGCAAGTTTTAAATGTTAAAACCTCTCAGATCCCCAAACTCTAAGATGCATAAGCTGTACTTAGTAGACACGCTGCAAAGTAACTTGACATTTTGCACTACATTTGATTTTAGCTAGAAATGAGAGTGCTTACCGTTCTCTGAGGCCACTGGTTTGCATCAAGCCCTTGGAGCGGTAGAAGGTAGAGCAGCAAGTAGAAATGACAGTGGTAAAAGTGACACCACCACCACCCCCCCAAGCAGCAACAAGCCAAGCAATCCCTGGGATGCGATAGGGAAAAGTGTATAAATCATTTCTTTCCCCATGAACATATCAAGGAGGTTTTCAGATGTATCACGATTTGTAAGCAAGATATGTAAAGTGGTGCCAGTGTGGTATGGGTGAGGGGAGGATGAGGAATTAGACTCATTATTTCCCCAAGTTAATCTGTACAGGAAAAGGAAGGTGTGACCTTTTGTATATTGGCCCTGGGCCATTCTTTTGCAGTCCTGGGCTGTTTTTCCTGTAGGAATGTTACATGCTAATAGTTTCCCTCTTACTCACAGGAGGAAAAATTAATTTAACAAACTAGAGCTCATTATCAAGTTGCTATAAAAGTTCTTATAGTTGAAACATGTATTTATTATATTTTGCAGGAGACAAGAAGTGTAATTTGATGATTTTTGATGTTCGAAGGACAAGCGTACATCCAAACTGCTACCTGTTTTACTGCCCTAGCACAGAGGCTTGTCTCATGAAACCTGCAACAGGACTTGTGAGCTACAGGATAACTAGAGGTAAATAATAGTAAGAGCCACCAGTCCACACACTAGATGACTTTTGCACCTGTGAGTTTTCAGTAGTGACCAGAAAATGTTTGGAGGTTGTGTTGTTAGTAAAATGTTCTAAGCCGAGCACTGTAATTTGAAAATGCTGCTCTTTTGCTTTGTGGAAGATGGATGGGCAGATGTCTGGTGAGCTCTGGTGTGGGCCCAGTGTCCTGGTCGGAATAATATCCTGACCCTTATGAAATTCCTTCACGTTAGATTCAGAACTCCTCATCATATTCCCCAGCTTATAGCAAAAAGAAGCTGCTTCCATCTTGATATATTCAAGAAGGAAAATTTCCTGTATAGAATGCTGAAGAGTATCATTGAAAACAGTGGAAATAGGATGCCCTTGTATTCGTCTGCATATTCGAAGGATCCATGCTACACTGATGAATACCAGATACACCCAGGCAGAAACACTGAGCAAATGTTGGGCAAGCACCATTGTGCTGTTGCTGAGTAATTTGCAATAGTAATCATTATTTTATGCTTTCAGTTAGGGAACCTGAAGCGCAGATGCAAACTGTCTAAATTCAAAGCTTTATGGCATGTGGGCTGCACACTCAGAAATTTCTTGCTATCTGTCATGTGCTGTGGGATTTTCAATAGTAAGTCTTCTTGTTGACTGACGTTGACTTGCACTAGACCTGTCTGAATGGCTCAGATAAGAAACTGATAATTAGACTGTCCTCCAGACAAGAGTTCATAAAGTGGTTTTAGTGTGGCTCCTCAAGAGAGCAGAAAATTCATATTTCCAGAGACTGAACTTTTGCTGAAAAAGAAAACTTCCTCAAGAGCAACTATGCAAGGAGCAACAGCAAAATAAGTAGAAAGACTATTCACATGATGTTACCAAATATTTTTGTGGAAGCACAATCACACAGGAACTGGGCAAAAGTAGTGTACAACAAATGAATTGCATGCCTATAAAATTATTGTTACAACTACTCTTCTCCAGCTCTTTCTCCCCCAGAAGAATAGAGGGGTTTCAAACACAGAAACAAGAAAAGTAATCGTGCTTGTGCTTTCATCCTGCATGTAGTGTAATGCTCAGTTAACAGCTTGATTACATATACCATCTCTCTTTCATTTTGCATTTTTTAGCTTCTGTGAACATTGAATTATGGAAAGATTATGTTTATTTACCTTATGCTCCTAATAAGCTTTCAAAGGTAGCATCTGAGAGGTGTTGGTACTGACAAACATTTCAAGCACAGTTTTTTCACATGAGAATCTTCATGTGGTTACACTTAAAAACAAACTAAAAGGGGGAAAGATACTCTATTGCTAATAAAGCAACTTAAAATACTGTTGCTATGTTAGTAATGAAATTTTGGTGGGTTTTTTTGGGGTTTTTTTTTTTTTTTTTATTGTGGCTGCTAACTAACGAAAACAACCTATGGCTAGGGAAGCAAAACGTTTCCTGGTTCCAGTTGCAAAGAGCTATTGCTAAATAAGAAATAACATTTCTGGTTTCTGCTGTTCATGTACTTCTGTGGCGATTGCCTTTTCCACCCCGCTAAGATAACCAGGCAAGACTGGTGGGTTCGAGCAAAGTATGTTCAGGAGGTGTTTAATTCGGGTTTTAAGAGTGACAGGCTGAAATTTGGTTTCTTACACAATTTACTAGATTCGAGGTATCACCAGGACCACTTTGATTTTTTTAACCTGTTTTTAACGTTTGACTCATGTAGCGCCCTTGTTCTTTCTCACCAACAAGCATACCTATCCTGGTAACCCAGCTGTACCTCGCACGTGGCAGTTTGGGGCGATTGCATCTGGGAGCTTGTAGTCTAAAATGGAGACAAAGAATACTGTAAACTCAACGTTTGATGCTGAAAATGCGAAGTAGAGTTAGTTAATGCAGGCAGTTACATTAATTAATCCGAGCGCTGAGGAGTAGCGGTGACACTCAGCTCCTGTACGGGACGGGTCACGTAGCCCCGCTGTGCTCCCTCCAGCCGCCCTCGGAACGCTGCCTGCATGCTCCGTGCTTTTCGAGGTGTTGCCCGGGCGAGGGAACTGGAGGTGCCACGGCGTGCTGCAAGCGCTTTGTAGCTGTCACACCACGTCCGCTGTTTGTTCCAGCGCGCCGGGAGAGCGTCCGTGGGGCGGGGGAGAAGGGAGCTGGGGACTGACTCTGCGGTGGTGACAGGCCATTTCCTCGCTGGTGTGGAAATGTGTCCAGAGCTGCAGAAGCAGTTTGGCTGTCTTTGACCATACATTTTCTGATTATGTATATAATATATTTATATATTATGTAATAACTGAACATTTTGCTATTTAAAGCCACTCTCTAAAAACAGAGTATGGCTTTTCTCTAAGTCAGACCTTGTGGTTGAAGTCCATTCTCTATGTCTAGGATCTTACTTTGCTAAGGAGCTGGTGCTTTGACTGCAAGGTTGGGATAAAAATTGGTGTCTATGATTCAAGTGAAGTATTTGCTGTGCTCTTGTTTAAAGCCTTGCCAGTTTTCTGGTTGGTTGGTTTTGGGGTGGGTTTGGGTTTTTTTGCACTTGATTTTTTTTGTGCAGTCTTAAGGCTTGGAAATATATATTAAAACAGCAGCCAAATAGGCTTCTCTGCATGTATAATAAAGCTGAAATATATCCATCCCTCTAAATAAGAGTTCTTACTTGAGAAAAAAGTGACAATGAAAATGTCAGGGACTTCTTGTTGTTTATTTCAATTCCAGTTCAGTTAACAAACCCCTTTGTTTTTATAAAAAAGAGATGAGACAGAACTACTTGAGAGCATGTTCCCTTTTAAGTGTTCTGTGTGGCAGCTGTATGATAATATTTATAAAATAAACACAATTATAGAATTTATATAAATATTTATGTATAAGAATTTGAATGATAACAATTAGTCGGTCTTTCCAAGAGCTCATGCTCACTCAAACTCTCTCTATAATACCTGTGTAGAATCAGATAGCTGCTAGGATTATCATTTGTATGGAATTTCTGTCACATAACACTGCTGTCCTGCTTCCAAATTCTATTAAATGACATTGACCCACCTGTTTTGCAAGGAATACGTATCGACTTCTGGAGAAATTATAAAGTGTAGTCTGCTTCTTGTGGACATCTTCACAACAAATGCCTCAGAGACTCTTGGAGCAGTGTCTTCTGGCACGACAGTAGGAGCTCAGATCTTTTCTAGAAATCAGTATGTGTATAAAATGGCCTATAAAATGGGGATATTGTCACCTTGTGTCATAAGACAGTTTTTGTATGTGAATTGAACTGTGATAAGCAATGACAGGGTGCTTGGATATTACAAGAAAGGGGAGTATATCATCATCTTGGCTAGGTGGAAAGGTGTACATTTGACAAGTAAAAGTGAGGTTGATAATACCTACTTAACTGACAGAGGCTGAGAATGGTTTGAAGGCAATGGGCCTACTCACACTGCTTTTCACCTCTAAATAAATGCTTACATGCATGCAATATGAGTATAAAACAATCAGATTGGGATGATCGCCCTGCACAGGTAAATTCTGTAACAAGCTGCAGTCAGGCTCTGATGTGCCCAGGCTTGAGGCTGACAGGTTTTACGACACAGAACTTAAAAGTCACTGCATATTTTAAAGAACGAGTGATCATGATGCCTCAATTTCATTAGTCATTACTTTCTGGAGACCCCTTATATCTCTCTTACTAAGAAATACAAACAATGTAAGCTTTTGGTAGTCAAAAATAGATTTAATAATTAAATACTGGTATTTCCTTTCTGTTTGCAGACTCCCATGCCCCAGTGGATACATCCTTCAAAAGTGAGGACTTTTCTTCAAGTGAGCATTCTTTGTCTTTGGATGCTGGGGCGTCTATTTCTCGCAGTCAGACTAGCCACCAGAATCGTACCACTGCTTTGCCACAATCTGTTGTTCATCAGGCATCTGAATCCCTGAACCACATGGCCAAGCATTTAGACAACACTGAGTTTCATACAGTTTTTCCTGAATCTCAAAGGGCAAAACATCCTGAGAGCTTAGGCCCCACCCCAAGGCAGAAAGTAATCAACCTGCCGCCAAACACGTCTTTTGCTGTCCGAGTTGGAAACACCTCTGCTTTGTTTTCCACCACTCAGTCTAGCATTCCTGAAACCAGCAGTACTACTCTTACACCTCTGCCTACAGGTACCTCCCGACTGGTATCTCGTACAACATCTCTGCATCCTGCTGGTGCTAAACCTACTGTTGTCACCACCACCACCACCGCTACCTTTCTGCCTGCTGCGACCACTAGAGCTAAACCTGGTATCCCTGCCACCAGCATCTCTGTTACTCACGTTCCTCTTTCCAGTCCCACAACTTCTGCTTCTACTTCTACAAGGAAGCAGATGACCACAAATTCCAGATCTCTTGCTGCCCCATCAGGGCTAAGAACTCCAGCCATCCCTCCTGAGCCAACAGTTGTCTCTTCCAACAATACCAGCCGTGTTACCCTCCTCTCTTTTTCAGGTTTCACTCTGCCTACTAGTGGTTCCCCCACAGTTTCCCAAAACAACCCTCAGGGTTATGACCCCTCTGATTCAGAAGGCTACCTGCCCGAGACTGTTCAGAGAGGGAAAGGTGTCATTCAGCTGGGAGAAAAAAGCAGCCTTGTAGCAGCTTTGCTTTTTGGGGTGGTATTCTTGTTGCTAGTGATTGCACTGACAGGGAAGAAAATACATGAATCTCTTCAGAAGAGACATTACACCAGGCTGGATTACTTGATCAATGGAATGTATGCTGATGTATGATGGGGAGAGTGAATGAGAGTATGAGGAGCATATCTCACCTTCGAGAGGGCAACTCTGAAATGGAACAGTAGATACTGAAATCCCAGAAGAGGATGGATTCCTTTTTTGGTCACTGACAGGAAAGCGGCAAATGTCTGTGGTGGGAAAGAGAACTGTTCTTTCTACTCTGAAATATAATGTCTGTCATTTTTGATTTATTACTAAATCCTGAAAATAAACACTCAAATCCAAGTTAAGCTAAGAAGATCTTATATTTAAGGAGAAAAGGCATTTCAAGAGCTTAATCTGTACTGTGACAAGATTAGTGGAATAGAAGTACACCTAATAAATTGAGTCCCTGTGCAATGCGTGAGCGTTTTCAGTGCTATTTACACCAAATGTCGTAGGGTTACACAATTGTCTGGCAATCCTATTTACTCTATTTGTAGCCTTAAAGGAGTACTTAGTAGTAGAGCTTTGCATCTAAATGGTTTTAGGTACAAACCAGTAAAAATTGTTGGACACATAACATCATTTTCCTTAGCTACATACAGTTTATGGATATATATGTATCTTTAATGGGGTTTTTTCTTCATACATCACAAGCTGTCCTTAAAACCACATGCTGCAAATCTGAGTTTGCCTTTTCCAAAGAGCTTGCCACCCTGTAGGATACAGGGGGTTTGCAGTATGCACCAGAGAGAAATAATTTTTATCATATCAAAGTAAGGCAAGCTGCAATCAAGCAGTATGCACCAGAGAGAAATAATTTTTATCATATCAAAGTAAGGCAAGCTGCAATCAAGCTCTTTCATGACAAACAGCATGACCAAGGGACTTGGCATATGCATGAGAGAGAAGCTGTTCTAATACACCTAAATCCCTAACAGTCGAGACTCAACACCTGATCACAGAGCAGGCAGGAACTTGTGAGGGGTCTTAGCAAAGACAACAGCTGTGGTATTTGCAGAAGATAAGCAGAAAGGTGTGGTCTCCATTTGATGAACATCTCAGGTAAAAAAGTTTTGAAGGAAAATGGTGGCTATGTTGTAGGAGAGTGCCAGCCTCCAAGAAGTTTCCTACAGTCAGCAGGAGAAGATGAGCAAGGCTGCATTTTCTTCATGCTTCTGGTGTTCTCCTACTTCCCTCACCAGGCTTGTGGCTCTTGAGAGAGCTGCTTGCAACGGTGCTGGACTTGCTGCCCTTCCTGAACACACACAGAGCTCTTACTGGCTCTCAAAGGACACCCTCTTCACTTCTAGGGTCATCTTCATGTCACTGGCAATAAGCATAGCTGCTCCATGTGTTTCCCTGATGCTGCAACAAGAAATGAGTGAGAATACATGTGAGCATTTACTGCTTGCTACACAATTCCAGTTTGTATTATTCACCTTTCCCTTCACATACACCCCGTCTAGACCTGTTTTTAGAATGAAAGACTAGATTTCAAAGTATCTGTGTGGCAGGCAATATCACCAACAGCAAACATCAAGACAGAGAAGGAAGGTTGCCTCGTGAATACAAGGAAATAATTCTACTACAAAATATGAAACGTGACTCACATCCAAGAGGTTCTTAGATCTGTCAAGCTTAGTGTGGTAGGAAGCAGGCATGATACAAAAATGGCCTCAAGGCAAGTTTTCTGAGAGCTCTAACAATAACTTTATGCAGAAAACACTCTGAAAATTCCAGTATTCAAAGATCAAATAAAAGTCAGTTTTCCTTATGTCAAGAAGTTGAATTCTCACTATATAGGGGCTGCAAATTGCTTTATAGATACAAAACTAGCTGGTCTTTTACACTGCTTGAGTCTGACAATGCTTAATTGAAAAACATTTTGAAATAACCTCTTAAAAGTGAACAAAATTGCAAAAGAAAAGTATCTTAAGTTCATCAGCTTGTCTGTTGACTGCACTCTGTTTAACCTCAGTTTTTTGTTTTTGTTTTTGTTTTAATAGCTATTTTCTGCGGTTTCTGGTCAAGGAGTGTGACAAGGGGGAACAATATTTCTGGGGAATGAGTTAATAAAATGATAAGCCCAGTTGTGACTATAAGAATGCAGGCGCAGATCTGAGGTTGTCCATAATTTTCTCTCAAAAGCACAACTTTGTGAGAAGCCTTTTACATTGCCAATGCCATCACGACAGGTTATTGCAGGAAGGGTGCTGAGAACACTTGCTGAATCCTCACTTGCATTGCTGCTGTAATAACGAATTTGTTGGGGGGAGAGATGGTTAGTATTAATTGATCCAGTACAGTACAGTACAGTAGAGATACGTTCAAGAGAAGGTGGGCTGATGTGTCTCAGGGTCGTTCAGAGCACTGGGCGTGTATTTGGCTAATATCATTAGAAGCATTGCCCCCCAACCCCACCAGCAACGCTGTCAAGCACGGGGAATGACAGAGGTAAAGCAGAGAGGCGCCTGGGTACCATGACTGATTTGGTGAGGGTGCCGAACTGACGGAGTGGCCTCTCACAATTTTTGAGTGAAACAAACAAATTTAAATGTTCTTACGTTAGAAATCTTTTCTTATGCTTGAGCAAAGAAAAGTAGGTATTAGGCAGGTGTCCTGAAACACTTATCTTTTTGGGGTTTCCACCATCCATTTGTCTTCTTGGATTAAGAACAAATGGGAAATCGTTACATGGCCAGTTTGGGTCTTTCTGGAGGGGCATTTACAAGCTGTGTTTGAACACTAGAGGGCAACAGCAGTTTATTAAATAGAATTGACAAGTTTTGACGATGTCAATTTTTAAATGTTTTAATTAGCTTGGTTTTAAATTGCATTGCAAAAATATTTTATAGGACAACTGGTTTGTTTATTGGAAGGTTTTGGGTGGAGGATTGTTTACACACACTTTGAAAATTGCTTACTATATCATATAGTGGTAGTGAATAGCTGTATAAGACAACAAAACTAGGCATATTACCTTCTCTATTTTAATAATGTTAAATCAGATTGCATTATTAGTCATGTATTGGCATTGCCAGTTAACAGAGCAGAAGAGAGAGATTTCCCATCTATGATGCTTAATTATATGTATTTTTTGAGCTTATCTATTTGACTGGATAATGCTCTTGTATTATGAAACAGAAGGGAGTGGGGCAGAGTAACTGTAAAAAATCCAACCAGTTTGTTATGCTTTTCAACAGTGTTTATCTAAAAAAAAAACTTCCGTGCTCTCTTCTCTTTTTCCATTGACATCTCTTACATTTTTAACTGTGCACCACACATGTAACAGGATCGTTAGCCATCATGATATGATGACAACATGTGCGCTTGGGGTTTCTCTTTCTGAAGTTAACCAGTTATGTTATGGCATGAGGCCAAAAGCTGATTGGCTTTAATCACCTGGAGAGTGTCATAAATGTGGTAACTTCTTGTTTTCATGTTGTTGTTTTATAGTGCTGAACAAACATAAGGTGTGTAAATTGACTGTCATGAACAAAACTGTTTTGTGGTATTGTACCGTAAGGCAAATAGAAAGCCCAAAATCTATAACCACTGCAAACAATAATAAAGAAATAAATTGCAGATAGGTGGATGAGAAGAGTGCACAGTCCCTTCCTCAGAGGGCTGCAAACTCAATATAGCATGTTCTCCTCAAATAGTGCTTCAGTTTATTGTAATTCCTGTGGGAGTAGGAAATGCTTATACTCAGGATTCTTTCAAGTAAATTACTAACCGACTAAGAAAACAAAACAAAAAAACAACAAAAAAAAATTACATGAGAAGACAGTTTAAAAACTGAGTCTTGCTTTCCTTTCTCCTACAAAACCATCTTAGTGGATTTGAATCTGAATACACCATTAAATACCGCTTTGATCCCACCATCCCACACTCCATGCTGATACAAACATAGAATTTTAAGTGCCATTAGTGCAGTCAACAGTTTCCACCCAGTATCCTTATAGAGGAGCTATACTTTGTTCTGTTACACTCCTGAAATTGGTCTAGATTGCTGGGCCCACCCTATGCATTACTCATTCTCTCATATAAGTAATATACTTCTCTACCTCCCTGTTCATTGATAGTTATGGGACAGGTGCAGCCCCTCGTTGTTTAAAACTCTTGCGCATCCCTTCAGGAGCGTACTTGCTATTCCCAGATGCTTTAGCAGCCTCTGGATGGGTAGTTCCCCTGAAGGATTGGGATATACTGAAAATTTTTTTTTGTCTTTAGGAAGCCTACACTCAATCTCACAGGTTAAATTTGCTTTTTTATTCTAGGTCTCTACATTTCTTGAGGATATCAAAGTGTAAAGCATAAAACTGCTGCTCTTTGTCCTCTTTGTGTTTGGTAGATATTATAAACAATGAACAAATGCATTTTTACATTACAGGACAAATATGCTGGATCATTGTTTCCTGTATATTGGCTCACTTCATGAAAAAAAAAACCTGAGGGTTGTGCTTTAACTTCTGTTCTGTTATTCCTCTCCTTCCAACCTATAAAATGTCATTGTCTTAAGTGGCAAAAGGGTTTAGATATGACATGCCCAAAGTGTTCTGATCTCTCTTCTTTTTGGTTTGCTTTGTTTTTAACAGAAAATGGAAAATTCTGTCATACTGACAACACCCAGGAATAGTCATCAGATAATTTGTGCACTCTGTATTTTCTCAAAGAAATTTAACAAGCAGTTGACATCTGGAACAACTTCAAGATGTTGTAGGTTAGACTGGCTAAACCATAGGCATCTTTTGAAACCTTTGCTGATTTGAGCAGTCACTCTCAAGACCGCAAAGGTGTTTCTTCAAAATGCTAGGACAGTAAGGATGGCTATATAAGGTATCAGTACTTACAAGGTGCTTTGGTACCTGCCACATCAGAGAAGCAGGTGGGTTCTGGCTGAACGTTCAAAAGACACCGGGAGCAGCATCAGGTTTTCTCTGTGCCCCACTTATACTGAAAGAAGGATGTGATCAGTGGTGCTTAGTCTCTGACATTGCAACTTCTGCAACTCTTCTCAACAACACCAAGGTTGAAAATTTACACGAAGTTCAAACATTTAGTCTTGTACTAGGAAGATGGTAAAAAAACGCTAAGACAGGGATTTCCTGTTGGCTTGCCTGCTGTTTGTATAGTTTCCAAAGAAGTTTTTCTATTTGCTTTCATGAAAGAGCCTTTTTTCCCTATCCCTAAATGCAAGTTGCACTGACACTACTGAAGTCCTGTGTAGCCCAAGTAAGTTAGGAATGAGGTGATCCCTTTACTTCAGTGGCCGTGTGCTGCTCTGTCTTCGTGCGTGCAACTCCCATTGATGTCTGCGGGAGGCCTTCTGGCACATAGTTTATGGCTATAAGTCAAGTCCTCCTACTTAGTGGCTCAACTTTCCAAAACAATTGCCTTATAGGATGACAGGA